CGGGTTGCTGACACGAAGTGCGGGTCCCAGATGGAGGAGCTCGCACCTGAGACCTGAGACTTCCTCTCGATTCACTCACAGACGAGGCTTCCGCTCGAGACTTTCTCACGTCTCAGTCTTCAGGAGCTCAACAATGAAGACACTTTCATGATCAGGATGACGCGCTCGGGTTGCTGACATGAAGTGCGGGCCCCAGATGGAGGAGCTCGCACCTGAGACTTCCTCGCGATTCACTCACAGACGAGGCTCCCGCTCGAGACTTCCTCACGTCTCACGTTTCAGTTTTCGGAAGCTCAAAAGCGGCGACAAAAAACAGATTCTGATGACCCGCACGGGTCACAAAAATGAAGTGCAGACCCCATAGGGAGGAGCTCCCGCCTGAGACGTGCTCGCGATTCACTCATGGACGATTCAGTTCTCAGAAAGAGCGCGTTCTGTGGTCGCTTGGAGGGGGGGGGGGTGGAACCTCATCAGTCTAGATTGATCCACTCACGGATCCACTGCGATTTATTTCCATTGAATTCATTCCATGCGTAGCATGCTCACCCCTAATGGACCGTGAACGGGACCCAGTCCCCTGCCGGTCGTCTAGTGCCGCCATCATAGGCAACCAGAGGGGCCATCATAGGCACCTCGCACCCAATTCGGGGCCATCAGCAAGGCTCGTTTTGGGAAGAAGGACCATCATAGGCCTTCGCGCTCAATCTGTTCATTGAACTCAACTGTCTCGTCATCGTCCTCCTCTTCCTCCCTGTCCTCCTCCTCCTGGTCCGCCCTTGCCCTCCCCCCCCCCCCTGGTGAGGACCATCATAGGCCTTACCAGTGAGGACCACCATGAGGCCTCACACCCCTTGCAGTTTCCATCACCGGAACTGCGGGGGTCGAACCAAATCCCCACAAACCTGGCGCCGTACGTGCAGTGCCAGGGGCGGCGGCCCGTCTTCCCATCTTACCATGATAGGAGGATGCGAAGTCCCTGAAGACGGGACGGGGTGGGCACGAGCGGGCATCATAGCCGGCTCAAAATCAAAAGAGGCATAGCCTCATCAGTCTAGATTGATCCACTCACGGATCCACTGCGATTTATTTCCATTGAATTCATTCCATGCGTAGCATGCTCACCCCTAATGGACCGTGAACGGGACCCAGTCCCCTGCCGGTCGTCTAGTGCCGCCATCATAGGCAACCAGAGGGGCCATCATAGGCACATCGCACCCAATTCGGGGCCATCAGCAAGGCTCGTTTTGGGAAGAAGGACCATCATAGGCCTTCGCGCTCAATCTGTTCATTGAACTCAGCTGTCTCGTCATCGTCCTCCTCTTCCTCCCTGTCCTCCTCCTCCTGGTCCGCCCTTGCCCTCCCCCCCCCCTGGTGAGGACCATCATAGGCCTTACCAGTGAGGACCACCATGAGGCCTCACACCCCTTGCAGTTTCCATCACCGGAACTGCGGGGGTCGAACCAAATCCCCACAAACCTGGCGCCGTACGTGCAGTGCCAGGGGCGGCGGCCCGTCTTCCCATCTTACCATCATAGGAGGATGCGAAGTCCCTGAAGACGGGACGGGGTGGGCACGAGCGGGCATCATAGCCGGCTCAAAATCAAAAGAGGCATCATAGCCTCATCAGTCTAGATTGATCCATTCACGGATCCACTGCGATTTATTTCCATCGAATTCATTCAATGCGTAGCATGCTCACCCCTGATGGACCGTGAACGGGACCCAGTCCCCTGCCGGTCGTCTAGTGCCGCCATCATAGGCAACCAGAGGGGCCATCATAGGCACCTCGCACCCAATTCGGGGCCATCAGCAAGGCTCGTTTTGGGAAGAAGGACCATCATAGGCCTTCGCCCTCAATCTGTTCATTGAACTCAGCTGTCTCGTCATCGTCCTCCTCTTCCTCCCTGTCCTCCTCCTCCTGGTCCGCCCTTCCTTACCAGTGAGGACCACCATGAGGCCTCACACCCCTCGCAGTTTCCATCATCGGAACTGCGGGGGTCGAACCAAATCCCCACAAACCTGGCGCCGTACGTGCAGTGCCAGGGGCGGCGGCCCGTCTCCCATCTTACCATCATAGGGGATGCGAATCCCTGAAGACGAGGAAGACGGGACGGGGTGGGCACGAGCGGGCATCATAGCCGGCTCAAAATCAAAAGAGTCATCATAGCCTCATCAGTCTATAGACTGATCCACTCACGGATCCACTGCGATTTATTTCCATTGAATTCATTCCATGCGTAGCATGCTCACCCCTAATGGACTGTGAACGGGACCCAGTCCCCTGCCGGTCGTCTAGTGCCGCCATCATAGGCAACCAGAGGGGCCATCATAGGCACCTCGCACCCAATTCGGGGCCATCAGCAAGGCTCGTTTTGGGAAGAAGGACCATCATAGGCCTTCGCGCTCAATCTGCTCATTGAACTCAACTTGTCTCGTCCATCGTCCTCCTCCTCTTCCTTCTCGTCCTCCTCCTCCTGGTCCGCCCTTGCCCCTCCCCCCTGGTGAGGACCATCATAGGCCTTACCAGTGAGGACCACCATGAGGCCTCACACCCCTTGCAGTTTCCATCACCGGAACTGCGGGGGTCGAACCAAATCCCCACAAACCTGGCGCCGTACGTGCAGTCCAGGGGCGGCGGCCCGTCTTCCCATCTTACCATCATAGGAGGATGCGAAGTCCCTGAAGACGGGACGGGGTGGGCACGAGTGCATCATAGCCGGCTCAAAATCAAAAGAGGCATCATAGCCTCATCAGTGTAATTGATCCACTCACGGATCCACTGCGAATTTATTTTCATTGAATTCATTCCATGCGTAGCATGCTCACCCCCCTGGATGGAGGGGGGGGGGTTCGAACCCTACCCCCCTTCTCCTCCCCTGCTTCCCCTCCTCCTCGGTCGGCGTTTGCGTCGGCGGCGGCTGGGCAGCGGCGGCGGGGACGCACGATTTCCTTTTCTGGGCCGGCGCCGCGCCTGCGGCGGCGGGCGGCGGGCGGCGGGCCTGCGGCGGCGGGCGGGGCTGCGGGGAGGGGGGAGCTCGACGAGGACGACTGGTGGTGGTGGTGGTGGTGGTGGTGGTGGTGGTGGTGGTGGTGGTGGGTGGTGGTGGTGGTGGTGGTTGCGGTGTGGTGTGGTGGTTGTGGTGGTGGTGGTGGTGGTGGTGGTGGTGGTGTGTGGTGGTGGTGGTGGTGGTGGTGGTTTGGTGGTGGTGTGGTAGTGGTGTGGTGTGTGTCGTGTGGTGGTGGTTGTGGTGCTGGTGGTGGTGGTTTGGTGGTGGTGTGGTGATGGTTTGTGGTGGTGGTGGTGGCGGTGGTGGTGGTGGTGGGTTGTGGTAGTGGCGGTGGTTTGTGGAGTGGTGCTGGTGTGGTGGTGGCGCTGGTGGTGGTGGTGTGGTGGTGGTTTGTGGAGGTGGTGCTGGTGGTGGTTGGTGTGGCGCTGGTGGTGGTGGTGGTGTGTGGTGGTGGTGGTGGTGTGGTGGTGGTGGTGGGGTGGTGGTGGTGGTGGTGGTATGGTGGTTTGTGTGGTGGTGGTGGTGTTTGTGCTGCTGGTAGTGGTGGTGGTTGTGGCGGTGGTGGTGGTGATGGTGTGGTGGTGGTGGTGGTGATGTTGAGTTGTGGTGGTGGTGGTGGTTGTGGTGGTGGTCGTGGCTGTGGTGGTGTTGGTGGTGGTCGTGTTCTCCCTTGGGCTGCCTCTGGTCATCGTCGCTGCATCCCCGCCGTCGGCGTTGCTGGCGGCCGCCAGCGCCGGCGCCGGCGCCGAGGGGGGGGGGGGGGGTTTGAAACCCCTTCCCCTCCCCCTTGGGAGGAGGGGGGGGGGGGTTCGGGAGGGGGGGAGGGGAGTCCCCCTGGTTTTGATCGACGGCGCCGAGTGTTGGGGGCGTCGAAACGCGCTGCCGGATGTTCCCAAGGCAAGCGCCCGTGGAACGCGTTCTCTCAGTTCTCAGGAGCCCAAAAGTGATGACAGGTACGCATAAGATTTGGATGGCCCGCCCGGGTTACTGGTACGGTGTGTGGGCCGCATAGGGCTGTCGCTGTAGACTTCCACAAGTTTCAGTCTTCATGGAACCCACAGTGATGACAAGTTCGTGATTTGGATGACCCGCTCGGATTCCTAACATGAAGTGCGGGCCTTATAGGGAGGGGCTCCCGCTCGAGACTTCCTCGCGATTCGCATGCGGACAAGGTTCCCGCTCGATGGTTTCTCTTGACCCAGTCCTCAAGAGCGTAAAAGTGAGAGCAATTACAAGACGTAGATGGTCCGCTCGAGACTTCCTCGCGATTGACTCACAGACGAGGCTCCCGCTCGAGATTTCTTCCGGATGAATGTATGTGTGAGTTTGCGTGTGTGTGTGCGTGTGGCTGAGCGATTGAAAGCGTCGGTGAGTACGTGCGTGTGTGTATGCGTGTGGGCGAGAGATGGTGTTTATTGTTACTGCGGCTGCTGCTGCTGCTGCTGCTGATGATGATGATGATGATGATGATGATGGCTGGCGATGACGATGACAATGATTATGACGATGGCAATGATGATGATGATGATGATGATGATGATGCTGATGATAATGCTGCTTATTATGATGACGACACTGCTTGTGATGATGATGATGATGATGATGATGATGATGATGATGATGATGATGATGATGATGGTGAAGACTATGGTGATGATGCTACTGGTTATGATGGTGATGACGATCGTGATGATGATGTTGTTGATGATGATGGTGATGGTGGTGGTGGTGGTGGAGGTTCCTGCGGGGGGATGTCCAGCGACAACGAGAATCGCACATAGGGTGTGGGTGGTAAGAGGAACCGCCTTGGACTCATCCTGTGTGTAAAACACGGAGGGTTCTCGCAACTTGCAGGCTCGCGTAATGCCTTTGGGGGAAAGTGGAAGGTAGTACTCTGATTGAGTAATGGTTTAGGGAACGGGGATTGTGGGAGTGGTCAGAGGGAGGAGGGCGGGGGTGGGCCAGGAGGAGGACAGCACCCAGTCGGTGTCGATGACCTGGTCCATAGACGAATCTGGCACCATGCACCACAAGGCTACAGGCATGAAGGTGTCGCCAGAGTCGGGCATCTCATTTCCAGGCTCGGAGTACAAGCTCCGCCCGCAGGACATAGACGTCGAAAGCGACTCTCGACTAGGAGCTGGCGCAGGCGGCGTGGTGCAGAAGGGTGTGATCAGGACAACAGGCCAGCCTGTCGCGATCAAGGTCATCAAGGTGGACGACAAGCCCAAGCGGGACCAGCTCATCAACGAGATCAGGGGTTTGGTCCAGGCGCAGGGCTGCCCGTACCTCGTGCAGTGGTACGCGGGCTTCGCGAACAACACAAACCTTCAGGTGAACGTGGCTTTGGAGTTCATGGACCTAGGTCAGGGCGGCCAAAGCCACGGGGATAGTGAGCGCTGGTATTGTCCCCATCGTCATCGTTCCCCGCCCCTTCGCAGAGACGAATGTTCCTATTCCCGCGGCTTTTGCTGCCCCATCCCATCTAGGGAGCCTTGCTGACCTGAAGAAGAGGATGGCCAACGCGGGCATGTCTGGTGCCCCCTCGAATCATGTGGCGGCGATTAGCGCGCAGGTGACGCTGGGCCTCTCCCACCTCCACTCGAAACATATCCTGCACAGGGACATCAAGCTGGAGAACATTCTCCACAACCGTGAGGGCCGAGTCAAGCTCACCGACTTCGGTATCGCGAAAGACCTGGACGCCACCCTCGCGGTCGCTGGCACGTTTGTGGGCACCGTGACCTACATGTCCCCAGAGAGGTGCCTTGGGGAGGATTACACGTTTATCTCAGACATTTGGAGCGTGGGCATGGTGATATACGAGATCTCCACGGGCAACTACCCCTTCAAAGACATCTCCTCCTTCCCGGCGCTCTTCGAGCACCTATGCGAGAAGCCCGAGCCGCGCTTGGACCCAGGTGTTTACCCGACCGCGCAGTGCGAGTACGTGGCCCTCTCTCTCGTGCGTGACGTGAGCCAGCGCTGGGACGCCGAGAGGCTGCTCAGCCACCCCTTCGTCAGCGGCTTCACGGCGGCCGACGAGCAGGCGCTCGCCCAGTTCTTCGCGACCCTCTGAGGGCAGCCCCCCCCCCCGCCCACCTTGGAGCCCGATCCAGGGCTCGACGTCTCCAGTGCCTCTTCCCCGCGCCCCTTCCCCCCTCCCCTCTCCTCCCGCACGGGAACACGCCCCCCCCTCCCCCCCCCCCCCGCACACCTTGGAGTCAGATCCAGGGCTCGACGTCTCCAGTGCCCTCCTCCCCGCCCCTTCCCCCCCCTCCCCCTCCTCCCATTCCCCCCCCTCCTCCCCCCTCCCCCCCTCCCCCCTCCCCCCCTCCCCCCTCCCTCCCCCCCCCTCCTCCCCCCCCTCCCCCCTCCCCCCGCTCTCCCCCCCCTCCAATGGCGGATGGCCCTCGCCGCCGTGGCGCGCGCAGCCCGGTTTGAGGAGGCCCCGCCGCGCGGGCGGGGGCCTCCCGGCCTGCGCGAGCATTGAGTCGGGCCCGTCCTTCTACAGGGGGGATGTTCAGAAACAGTCAAACAATGATACGGGGATCATTTTTTTACTATTTTGGGGCATCGTTTGGGCATTTTTTGCGTATCTTTTACCTATCAGCGAAGATTGATATGTTTCTAGTGGGCTCAAAAGAGAGCATATTGACTCCCCATGCAGGGGGGAAATGCAAAAATAGTCCAAAAACAGTCTGGGGACTATTGTTCGACCATTTTTGGCCATCGTTTGGGCATTTTGTTGCGTATCTTGTATTCTTCGTCCAAGATCCCCCTGCGGGGGGACAGGCCCGACCCTAACACGCACAGGAGGGCGCGCTGCCCTCGCGTGCCTTCGACCGCGGGGCAGTGCCGCAGCAGGCTGCCAAAAGGTGCGCGCCCGCGGTCGGCCCGGGCGCACTGCGCGGCCGACGCACGAGAGAAAAAAGCCCCTGGCGTCGGCTCCCTCGGGCGGCCCTCCTCTGCTTCGCGGCAGGCCGTCGGTCCTTGCGGGAGGAGGAGGAGGAGGCCGTCGGTCCTTGCGGGAGGGGAGGAGGAGGAGGAGGAGGAGGAAGGAGGAGGGGGAGGCGGAGGAGGAGGAGGAGGAGGAGGAGGAGGAGGGGAGGAGGAGGAGGAGGAGGAGGAGGAGGGGGAGGAGGGGAGGAGGAGGAGGGGGAGGAGGAGGAGGAGGAGAGGAGGAGGAGGGAGGAGAGGAGGAGGAGGAGGAAGAGGAGGAGGAGGAGGAAGAGGAAAGGAGAGGAGGAGGAGGAGGGGAGGAGGAGGAGGGAGGAGGGGAGGAGGAGGAGGATGAGGAGGGGAGGAGGGGGGAGGAGGGGATGGAGGAGGAGGGGAGGAGGAGGAGGAGGAGGAGGAGGAGGAGGAGGAGGAGGAGGAGGAGGAGGAGGAGAGGAAGAGGAGGAGGAAGAGGAGGAGAGGAGGAGGAGGAGGAGGAGGAGGAGGAGGGGGAGGAGGGGGAGGAGGGGATGGAGGAGGAGGGGGAGGAGGAGGAGGAGGAGGAGGAGGAGGAGGAGGAGGAGGAGGAGGAAGAGGAGGAGGAAGAGGAGGAGGAGGAGGAGGAGGAGGAATCCGTAGCCATTTGGCTCAAGGCCATTGCCCGGGGCCTTCGCCTTCCCTGGGGTAGGGGCTCAAGGTGGTCGAGGGACCCGCACGACTCTCGATCAGAGGCCCTGCCCAGGGTGAGAGTCATACACTGATTACGTTCCGTTCTGGCTCAGTGAAGTGCACACCTTCTCTGGAGGACGCGAGATGGCAGGAGGCTGGCATGACGCGTCGATCTGGAGATGTACACACTGCGGGTGCGGAAAAACGGCAACGTCAGAAGCATGGTGCAAGCACTGCAGTCGCCACTGGAAGACGGGCAAGCCCAAGAAGACCAAGGGCAAGGGCAAGGACGTCGAGCCACCTCCAGGCCTTTTCAATCCTGGTGCTGGCGGTGGCCATGGCAGCGCACCTCGTCCAGTCGGGCTTCAAGGTGAGGCTGACCCCGTCCCAGAGCTGTCGGTCGCAGAGATCAAGCAGCTCGTGTCTCTTGGGGAGAAGAGCAACAACAGTGGCATGGTCGAGTACTACCAGCGGGTGCTGGCCATCCGAGACAAGCAGCTGGTGTCGCCGCAAGTACGGGCGGACCAGGCTCACAAGACAATCAAGCAGCTCGAGAGCGACCTGGCCAAGGAGTCGGGCGTCTTGGAGGGCTTGCAGCAGCAGGTCACCAAGCAGGAGGGCAAGGTCGCGGCCCTGCTGGGCCACATCGAGCAGCAGGAGGAGATCTACAAAGAGGCCATTCGGGAACTCCACGCTGGAGTCACCCCAGTGGCAGAGGCGAAGGCGCCCATGGTGCGGCTGGAGGACCTCCTCAGCGGCACGGCCCAATGGGACCTCACGTGCGGAGAGGACCTCTTCGGGCTGTCGGACTACGTGGATGTGGCCGACAAGGACCGCGAGGAGGCGAAGAAGCGAGAGCAGCTACTCAAGGAGCAGTTCCAGACCCTGGCACAGTCGATGTTCGGGGAGATCAAGAAGAAGGCAGAGCAGTGCAAGAAGGAGCATGAGGAGCTCAAGGCTCGCCTGCAGGCGAAGCGCCGCCGCCAGGAGGCCGCGGGCGGCCAGGGCGGAGGCGCGGCAGCGGCGACGGAGGCAGGCAGCGGCCAGGCCGCGGCGCCAGCAGCAGCTGGTGGCGCCGACGCCGCCGCCGAGCCGCCGCCGCGCGCCGAGGTGCCCCCTCCGCCCCCAGCGCCGCCGACGTTCGGCAAGGGCACGGCCAAGTCGGCGGCCGAGCTGCGCGAGCACGCCCGCAAGCTGGTCGGTGGCCACCCGCTCCTCGAGGGCAAGGGCCCAGGGGCAGGCAAGGGCGGCCATGCTCCAGAGGACCAGTCAGATCTTTAGCCCACGCGCCGCCGCGCGTCGGGCTACCAGTACCAGTTCAAGAACGGTGTGGCGCATAGTCACAGCCAACACTTCAGGATGGTCTGGCACGGCTTCACTTCTCACCGACCCCCAGATGCGCGACGATTCTATCATCTGCCTCCAGGAATGCAGAGTTTTGAAGGATAGCGTCTCGCAGAAGGAACAGTCGATGACGAGTGAAGGGTGGAAACTTAGGTTGTCACCAGGAGTGCAAACTGATCGAGGGGGAGTGTCCTCTGGAGTCGGCATAGGTGTACGCAGTTGTGTCGGCGTTGGTGAAGTCCAGGGACATCATTCTCATCTTCTCCATTCGCGTTGTTCGATCGTGTGGGTGAACGGCTGCGTGAAGGGAGGCTTCTACCTAGCTACAGTCTATCTTCCAGACGGAGAAGGTATATTAGGAGCTCGTGGGCAGCAAATAATGAACCAGTTGGGAGAGTTCTTGTATGCTTCCAGGAGGCCCTTCATCGTCTCGGGGGATTTCAATAGTTTACCTTCGGAGGTCCAGCAGGCCAAGTCGGTTTCCAGGATGAGGGGTATCGTCGTGGGATGCAACAAACCGACTTGTCGGGTTGGGAAAGAATGGAGGGAACTAGATTCCTTTATCGTTTCACATGAGTTGATTGGAGTGGTCAAGTCGTGCCAGAGAGTGGTATGTTCAGCCAATAAGACTCATTTCACAGTGCGTCTGGAGTTGGGTGTGGACGCTCACACCCAGACGAAGCAATGTTTGAAGATGCCGATGCCTTTTCCAGTCGAGAGGCCCATAGGGCCAGTCCCACCGCCGCAGGACTGGCAGTTTCTTTCCAGTTTATTCGAGGGGCACGCTGGCGAGATGTCGGCGGAGAGTCTCACAGACTTGTACGGCCTCTTATGCACCCGCATGGAGGCCGATATTTGCGACGTGATGTGTATTCCAGAGAACGAACGGGCTAAGTATCTTGGGAGGGGTACTGGTTATAAGGTCGTCGAGAAACCGATTCTGGAGCACATCAAGGGGCCGTTTCCAAAGTGTTCGAAAGCGGCCAGGGCGATTCGGAAATATCAGGTTTGGTTGGAAGAACTGGGGTATCTTCTGGGCAAGAACCATAGTTGGGATGACCGAGGAGTTCAGGAGCTTCTGGATAGGATACTCTGGAGGCACCCCAATTTGAAGGACCATGCAGGCTGGCGCGAGTTTCACGACAGGCTCACGCTAGGTCGGCACAGCGTCATCGAGGACGTCCAGTCCGCCCTGGAGGCCGTTCGGGCCATCGCGGACTTGGAGGAGGCTGAGTTTAAGAAGAGCAGGACGAAGGAGTGGAGGACTTGGGTAAACCAATCCCTCGACTCTGGAGGAGGGGGGCTCTACAAATGGACAAAGGAGCCCCAAGGTTGGGCCCCCGACCCCAAGGTGCCGTCCGAGGGCCCAGCTGGGCCCGTCGACACGGTCGAACAGCTCGTCTCGGAGTGGAAGGAGATCTGGCATGCTGGAGAACCCCAGAGGCTGGGCAGTCGAGACCTTCAGTTACCTCTTGAGGCCCCTCCACCAGCCCCAACTGCAGAACAAATCAGGGCAGTCCTGAAGAAGTTCAAGAAAGGCACGGCCATAGGCATCGACGGGTGGAGCCCGAAGGTCCTGCAGTTCCTCAGCGACGATGCCTTGAGGGTTTTTGGCCTTTTCCTGTCGGTGATAGAACCAGAGTTTTTGATTCCAGATCAGTGCGACCTCGCCCTGATCGCGTTCCTCAAGAAGCCAGATGGCGGTTTCAGGCCAATAGGAGTGCTAGCAACGTGCATTCGGATATTGGGGAGGATACGGAGGGGAGAAGCACAGCAATGGGAGAGGGAGCACGACCTTGCTTGTGCGTATGGGGCCAACGGCAAGAGCTGCGAGCGCGCTGCGTGGCAACAGGCGGCTGTTTCAGAAGCTGCTACGTCGGCTGGCGCGTGCTCGGCTTCAGGCTTGGCCGATCTAGAGAAGTGTTATGAGAAGATCCCTCATGATGTTTTGTGGCAAGCGTGTAAGAAGCACGATTTCAACTTGAGAAGGGCCCGTCTGCTCATCAGGGTATATGGAGGCCCCAGGAGGCTCAAGGTTCGGGAGGTGATATCCGCCATCATCATCCTGTCAAGGTCAATTATCGCAGGGTGCTCGTTTGCCACAACTATGCTCAGAGTAGTAGTGCA